ATGACTTGTGAATGCCTCTTTGAAGTCTGCTGACTTGTGACTACCTCTTTGATGTCTGTTGACATGTGAATGCCTCTTGAGGTCTGTTGACTTGTGAATACCTCTTTGAGGCCTGTTAACTTGCGAATGCCTCTTTGAGGTCTGTTGACTTGTGAATGCCTCTTTGTGGTCTGTTGACTTGTGAATGCCTCTTTGTGGTCTGTTGACTTGTGAATGCCTCTTTGTGGTCTGTTGACTTGTGAATACCTCTTATGACAAGGGCCTTTTGTTGTGGGCCGCTTCCTGTAAGAAGAATAAGTATTCTTCCAGGTTGAAAGGCGTCTTGAGGTCATTCTTTTAGTAATGAGTTGAGGTCTTGAGGGTCTTGACCTCTTACAAGGACTCCACCTTTGGCTAGTTTTTTATTTCTAAAAGTTTTGCCTGTGGGTTACATCTTTTTACCTCTGCCGTGAATTGGGGTTCTCTGTATTGTGTTCGGATGCCTTCAGTGATGATGGTGTAATTTGGTTTGTTAATAGAATCTGTTGCTGATGTATTTTTTGTCTTTTTTCTTGTGTTTGTTTGGTGCTCTTCTTTTTTTGATTTTTTTTTGTTTTCTGTTAATTCATGTTCTGTGTTCTTCTCTTTTGTGTCAATGATGTTAGTGTATGGTTGAGATGTGTTACGTGGTTCCTTGCATGTTTCTTTGTTTTGTTCATTACGCATAGATTCAGAAGCGTTGCTTTCATCATCTGAGATATTGTTGTCACTGCTCTCTGAGTCTTTATCTGTGTATAGTATACTGTCCGACGTTGGTTTGGGTTGTTGATCTTCTTGTTAGTGCTCTTTGTTCTCTCTGTGTTTTAAGTCTTTGTGAATTGTTTAATTAACATGTTGGTACTATGGCTATTACTTTGTGTTTTTTTTTTGTGTTTTGTTTTTTTCTGAGGCCACTATTGCTAGGCTTACCTTTTTTGGTGCTCTGAAGAAGTTCCTGGGATACATTCTTCAGCCTTGACATGGCAGAGTCACACTTGAGTTGTTCCACACCCTTGTTCTGTTGGGTTGTCAAACACTAAACAGAAGTTACTGGTGTTATTTCGCACTTCACTCGATGAAGTCGATAATTTGTTTATTTATTTTTTAATTTCGCGCAAAGCTACACGAGGACTAGCTGCGAGAGCCATCTCTACTTTAGAATTGATAGACTAGAGAGAAGGCAGCTAGTCAACACCATCCATTTCCAACTTTTGAGCTACTCTTTAACCAATGAATAGTGGGATTGACCGTCACATTATACCGCCCCACGGCTGAAAAAGCGAGCATGTTTGGTGACGGCGATTCGAATCCATGAACTGCTGACTGCGAGTAGAGTGCCCTAACTAGCGGGCCATGTCAAGTCCGAAGAAGTTTAGCATATGTTGTAGACTGTACGTTATATATAAAAGTTCTTATTGTTCTTGTTTGTCTGCTTCAGTTCTCAGTACAAAGAACTAATACATGATCCTCTCAACCTTTTTTCTTCAGCGGAGGAAGCAAATGTTACCTGAAGGAAGGGCTAAAGTGCATAGAAGATCTGTACATAGTAATTCCACGGAGATTAGGGGGTATGGCTCCTGTAAATGGGGCATTTATGGACTTCAAACGAAACAATTCCTAAAATGTGCGTGTTAAAATGCGGACAGTTAGTGTATGACAGCTTTAAAATCATTAACAGTTATTAGCCTACTACCAACGAGCGTAGATATTGGGCTACATATCCCCCATAACCGTTGTTTTTCCGTCTATTTTATTTTAATAATAACATAGGTAATGTTTTCTTCATTTGATGATATAAGATGATATAATTGATAATCCAACTTTGATTAGAGGTGATGAGTTATTTACCTTGTGTATACTGGATCTAGCAAATAGTTGTACAACACGTGTTATTAACGTTGAATACAAAACGTTATTTGCACGTGACATGTCATATTTCCGGTTAATATATGTATTAATATAACTTTGGTTAGTGATGATGAGTTGTTTAACTTGTGTATACTGTATGTTATTAAAGGTGAATGCAGGACACAAACAGCTTAGCACCTAATGTTGCAAGAGGTAAAGTCAGGGTGTTGTAATCAATAACTAGTGGTAAGGGCAGAATGTATACGTTAAGTATATTATGCTACCATTATGAATGTAAGATATAAAATCTATACCAGTTGCGGTGCTTCTGTTGATTTGAGGATGTCAGTGTTGTGTACTTTTGTTAATAAGATTACAATATTTATCTTAGTAATATACGTTAAGTATATTATGCTACCATTATGAATGTAAGATATAAAATCTATACCAGTTGCGGTGCTTCTGTTGATTTGAGGATGTCAGTGTTGTGTACTTTTGTTAATAAGATTACAATATTTATCTTAGTAATGAAGGACAAAGAGGTAATCCCATAAGTAGAGTTGCCCTTAGTCAATACATGTCGTAATAATTACATAATTTATGTTACATGTAAACATTTTTCATTTTAATAACTACATATTTGTGTACCCTGTGGCACAATATTAAATCTGTAGCTTATAATTCTAAAAGCCGTGCTTTGATACGTGTGGCGGGCAGAGCACAGATAGCCCATTGGGTAGCTTTGCGCTTAACAACAAAAAACAAAGCTATTATATCTAACATATTTGTGTTACTGGTGGTAGACGCAGAATGTAGTCGTTGTTGTATAACTTGCGTAATTAGTCTTGGATACAAAATGTATCGTCGCGTAACTTGAGTTACTAGATGAAGAAAGTAGTAGCTACATAACTTGTAGTACTAGTGGTGAATGCAGGATTCAGTCATTATGTAACTTGTGTTAGTAGTTGTGAATACATATGTAATAATTATGTAATTTGTGTTAGTAGTTGTGAATACAGATGTACTCATTATATAATTTCTGATTGACTGATTGATTGATGCAGAATGTATACTCGTTTGTGTACAACATTACTTGTGTTTAGATGTAAGTGTACAGTTATATAAGTTGTTATACAGTACTCTTCATGTAGGCTGTAGTAAATAAGATGTATTTTTCACATTGCTACTATAAACATTATATGTGTTAATCAGTTTGCGGTTGGAATATAACTTATACATAACGTAGAGCTATTTCTATATTCCAACACAGTAAGCAAGTCGATCATCAAGGAGGGCTCCAGCCAATACATTAGAAGTGGCAGCACTATCACATTGAGTTGCGTTATTCTAGAAAGCCCTGTTCCTCCAGATTATGTCTTCTGGTACCACAATGGTCACGTGATTAACTATGACACTCGAGAAGGCATTGAAGTGAAAACAGAGAAAACTTCACAGACGACAAGCACACTACATATAAGTAAAGCTCGTCCGAGTGATTCAGGAAATTATTCATGTGTCCCGTCAAACGCAGATCCAGCAGAAATTGGGGTCCATGTCTTAAATGGTATGATATGTATTTGTAATGTATGTATTATAAGGTTAGAAATAGCTCGAAAAACTCTGTGTGTTTATACTACTGGAGTTCCGTTAAAAACTGGCTGATCTACTACAACTGTTTCTACAATCATTGATTTTAACCTGCCAATATTTCTTACGTAAAATACGATTTTAAATTATTGACACCAGTAAAAAACTTGTCTTTACTTCCTAAACTTGACTTATTCCCTTTTGTAGGGGATAAATACGTTTTATCGATGTTTTATGTGTTTTTTTTTATTATTATTATCTAATAAAGCTAATATTTCTAAACTCCGAATATTTACTACACTGCTCAAAATAATTAAAGAATAATGAGAATAACTTGCTTGCTCTAGGTGCGAAAACGTACAGCTACTGTTAACAAATAATGCCAATGGCATCACTGAGCTTATTTTTATTCAAAGTAAGTATCACGTGAACAGTCATGCAACTATATATGTACATATCTCTTATTTAAGACCATTTCCACATACACATATTTGGTTCTACAAAATTAGCATACAAAGAACTGGTCAGAAAGCGGTTGTTTATCTGCCTCTCAGTTGTATAGAAAACCGAAGGAAACTGTGTGTGTTTTCATGTTCACAAACACACATTTGGTTCTACAGACCTAGCTAGAAACTGCTCAAGCATAGCAAGTCGTTAACAAGTTGATACAAGTTTTACAAAGTGTAAATGGTTGGTGTTCTGGACACTACTTGACAGTATAGACTCAACGAAACCAGCAGGCATAATATTTCCAACTAAATCAACAGTTCAGAACAGCAGTTTGACGACAAGCCAGATACAACCAGATTGCCTTCTCTATCCAACTGAATCAACAGTTCAGAACAGCAGTTTGACGACAAGCCAGATACAACCAGCTTGCCTTCTCTATTCAACTGAATCAACAGTTCAGAGCAGCAGTTTGACGACAAGCCAGATACAACCAGATTGCCTTCTCTATCCAACTGAATCAACAGTTCAGAGCAGCAGTTTGACGACAAGCCAGATACAACCAGCTTGCCTTCTCTATCCAACTGAATCAACAGTTCAGAGCAGCAACTGAACAGCAAACTAGAATAAAAATGGTCAAAAGTAGGTTTTAGAAGGGTTGAGCTTTATGCCAATTAATGGTGTGGTTTCTCGAACTCATCAACACAAAAGAGCCCTCACCTTCAGTAGAGTAAAGAACATATGGATTGGTTAAACGATATCATGACGAACGGCTTACTCAAAAATAAATCACTCTTCCCATTGCAGCAGGAAACGAGACACGTGCACATTCAGAGAATATATCCAACCTCAATTTCACGAAGTAAAAAATGCATGTGGCAGTCACGCCATACTGGTTTGCGCAGGGATGAACACTTTTGTCCACGATGCCATTTATGTGCTATAGAATGGCACGATGAATATCACACAACATCGGGATGTAGTCTTACAACCATTAATGTTGCCATATGCACGTGAAGTCGTTCAGTACTTTTTTTTCTAGTGAATGATAACTTGCATCTCCAGTGCACATAACTGTTAAGCAACTTCTTGTGAGACGAGGGTACCGAGCTAATGTAGTGGCCGATGGACTCATTGAACATGCTTTAGGGGGATGTTTGGAAGAAAGTGACTCACCCCCAAGCAACTCTCATGGAGAAAAAGCTAATTGCTTCAGTAGTCTAATGATTTTCTCCATTAATGTATGAACTGCGTGAATGTTGTAGTTGGTAACAAACGTTTTCTAACCATTTCTTGGGGTACAAAGCCTGTAGTACTAAACATACATTTACAGACATGGACTACAAAAATCAGCCGTTAACATATCGAATTACATGACTGGTCACCTAACACTTATTATGCATAGATGTGAACACAAGGATGCCATTGGCCTTATTTCCTAATAGTATCTGTGCCTTGTTACTCCTAGAATGTTAAAAAAACTACCGTGATAATCCTTTAATTTTTTGAGCAATGTATTCGGTATCTAATTAATCTTATTTTATATTACCCTTTAATATGAAATAACTATTATTGTCAACAATTTACAATAGATGGTTTTGTGTTTATGATGAGTAAGTGTTATATCTATATTTATGCATTTTTTTCAGTATTTAAATGATTTAGAGTAACCACTTATGTTTTTCTTTCTTAAAAAAAAGCAAGAGAAACATGAAAATATGCAAATTTGATGTATAATAAACTCGACAACTTAATGATATGAAGCCATATAACAAAACGAATTTCACGTAGAAAAAACAAAGACTTCGCGATCCTTGTGTGGCTATACAATATGCAAATCTAGACGTGTAGTAAGCTAAATTAATTAATATTAATATACAATAAATAACCTTGACGTGTAGTAAGCTCGATTAATTAATCTTGTGTGTCTATACAATATGTAACCTTGACGTGTAGTAAGCTAGATAATTAATCTTGTGTGGCTATATAATATGTAACCTTGACGTGTAGTAAGCTAGCTTAATTAATCTTGTGTGGCTATACAATATATAACCTTGACGTGTAGTAAGCTTGATAACTAATCTTGTGTGGCTATATAATATGTAACCTTGACGTGTAGTGAGCTTGATAACTAATCTTGTGTGGCTATATAATATGTAACCTTGACGTGTAGTGAGCTTGATAACTAATCTTGTGTGGCTATATAATATGT